ACTGCAGAGCACGTCCAGTCAGGAGTGTAATCATGAAGGTGATCTTCGATCTTTCGGTGGGGAGGGCTTCGGTACTGCATTTAAAAAAAACAGAGAACACTACAACAAAAAGCCACTACAATCCATCGCCTCTCCAGAGAACATAGCGGGCCGAGCCATGGGACTGGCGGAGGCAGATGCAGCGCTAGTGAGAGGTGCAAGTGCGGCGTTGACAGCTTGAACAAAGTCCTCGAGGGTGAGCGGGTTTGGCAGCTGTGGATTCATGCTGCTGAAATCTTCTCTAGGACTGGTCTTCTGTCACAGAACAGAAGGAGACCACAAATGGAGAAACTGGTAAGTGAGATGGTATTTATTGAGCAACAGGAATAGAGTGCAGAGGAATGGAGAGTCAGCAGGTAAGTCTCTACTATACTGGAGATAAGTCAACTTAGCTTAGTGAGCTAACAGGCTCTTTCTCCTTTTCACAGGTTTCCGAGGACTTGGTTAGCAAGAGATGAAGATCGGGATCAGCAGGTGAGTATCCAACGGTAGGTGAGTCAGGTAAGTCTGTGGTAGCAACTTCAAGACCAGACAAAGGTTGGTGAGGAGTGAAGGTGGCTTTATACTGGTCTTGATTGTGATCGTGCAGGATGAGTGCTGTTGTTTTTATGTGAAGTTTATTACTAATTTCAGATTTTTTTCAGTGTGAATAAAACAGATTATTGTTTTACAAGAAAATACTATTTCAGTCGTTGTAATTTCACAGTCTTCAAAATTTCACATTTAATTCAATGTGTTACTTGCTGTTTCTTTGTAAAATTTGTGAAACTGAAGTAAATTTAAAGTAAAGTAAATTTAAGTACATCCTACACTAAATTTGTTTCAATGTCACTCAAATTGACACCATTTCCAAAATAAATTTAGCTTTATTCTTGGAGTCATTCTGAAGGTTAGGCTTGCAAACAATATTTTGAAACAACTTAAATTTATATCTGCACCCGGAAGAAGCTTTAGACCTTCACAGATTGTCCTCTGCTGTCTCCAGAAACCAAAAATATATTGGGTTGAGTCCATGAGCTATAGTGGACCACACAGGAGATTCTCTCCAGGGTAGCAGTGGAAATGCACTGCAGCTTTAGTGATTTAAGACTTTAATGGTTTAGTGTTAGATTTATCAGTCTAAAAATGTCTATTCCTCAAGTAAACATCTACCTTTAACATTCAGAGCAGTTTTAATGTAGAAAGCATGGATCGCTGTGGCTCAAATGCAATAGCCTTGCCTTTTCACCATAAACTCTTAATGATACAAAAGCATTTTCTAGTGTACCATTAAATCTCCCTCTCTTGCCCTGAGTTTTTCCTCAATCCATTCTAAGGTTGTGCACGAATCATCATGACAAAATGAATTATTAGACTACTAGCGTACCATAATAAGATATGCAGATGCACACATATGTGTCTCAAATTATTAAGCACATTCAGCAGGGAATCATTGGCTTGTGAAGCATTTTAACAACCAAAGTTTGCTAGCAACCATAGATACAGATTAGATACAGATGTCAAACCAAATGAAGCAGAAAACACAAAAGATCAACATGATTAGGTGAAAGAAGAATAAATAGCTACGCTGCACCAAGTGTCTGAGTGCTTAAAATATCTAATCAAGCTAGCATTAATGGCTAGTAGAATATTCTAGACTAGAATGGATACTGCATTTGGAGCATAAGCAAAGCAGTCCAGCAAAAGGAAACCAAAATCACCCAATGTTACACTTTTAAAAAAAAAAATATATATACATATATTACAATAAATTTAGCTCTTTCTTTTTGAAATCACTTTCGATCAACTTTATATACTTATGAATTTTAGAGGTGGGGAACCCTAAATGCCCTGTACACACAACTCCCAGCCTCCCAATGCCATTCTGCCCCAATTTAACCCTTGGCAACAGCCCCACTTAAAAGGCATTCTTTGGCAAAGTGTCTGCTACTACTATCATGGACAGAAGGAATTACAAACAGAAAGTGTATTACCTTTGTTCTTTTGTGAACCAAATATATTCTGTATCTCATTCAGATATTGTGTGTTTGGTGGTATTTTAAAGGCATTTTTTGATGTGCTGGGTACATTTTTTTTGTTCATGAAAGGTGCTTTCTGTTATACACAAAATGAAAAAAAAAACAAAAAACATTCACTCTTGTGCACAAATTGAAGTAACTTCAGTTAGTTTTGGGTCTAGAATTTTGTGAACAAAATGCAGAACTGATTTTACATTACCATTAACAAAAAGCAACTGACTTTTGTCTTTCTTTTAAAGTCAAATGACTATTAATTTCAATTATTTAAATTTGGAATATAAAACATTTAAATGCCTGTCACATGCAATAACCATTACATTCACTGCAAATAAAAATGTGTAATATTTACAGAAAAAGACTGGAAAAAACCCTACAGTAAAAATTATGTGCAATTTCACTGTAAAATGTGTGGTTTATGGTGAAAAACAGTAAAAGGACATTCCCAAAAGTCCCTGCATAATACATCACATATGATTATGTTTTATTCAAATAATTTTGTTTCTTCTAATTTTTGTTATCAGTAATGTACATTAGGATGTTTTGTGTCACATTTTGTTATTTAATTAAAGTTGCAGTCCTTAAGTTTTGCCTCTTTATCGCCATCTCCATTTGAAACCTGCAATTGCAGTTATTTGCGGAATTATCTCTACCTGATCTCATGATGAAAATGTACCTGTGGGAACTTTTTCACAAGACGCGAAATACATACCAATAAGTACATATCACTGCAGTTTCCAACAGAAATGAACACCAGAGGCGGTAAAACAGTGACCACTTGTAATCGTTTTCGTACACAGTTATGATTACAGCTCCATATGTTTCGCTTTCTGGATGTAACAAGCTTGCTCGGTAGCTCAGCCTGCACGGAATTGGACTTAGGATGCGGAATCCTTGAGTACAAATCCCGTGAAAAACATGACTCAAGAGTAATGTGCTGAGATGAAAGATCGAAAAACAAGCTAAAACGGCATGCTTGTGATTGCGTTTTTATGTCACATTCGCTTTTGTTCATACTTTCGGGTAGGTTTAGGTGTAGTGCAGATGGTACGTTATTTTAAAACGTCACGGAGCATTAGAGTTATAGTGCCACTCAATGGACATTTCCAAGTCAGAACTACAGTGACACATATAAAATGTTCCGGGGAAATATCCAAACACTCTTTTAGTGCAACTCAGTGTACATTTCACATCAAATATGTAACTAAATTGTACATGGCGCTACATATATAGCGTCTTGCAAAAAAGTTCCCACAGGTACGTTTTCATCATGAGATCAAGTTGAATTAATTTCTTTATGTGGGTTGTGCATCGGCATGGCTCCTCCGCACGGATGAATCTAATGTTTTGAGGTGTGTGTGTGGGCTGTGAGTCACCACACCGGTGTGGATACTGTACTTCGAAATCACAGATTCTACGTCTTGGAAGTATTATCCAAATAATACAAGTTTCACCTGTAAAATGTCATATGAACTAATAATTAACATGTCTTTTGTAAGTACAGTGTAATCCCACGTATCTGCAATCAGATGCACAATTAAAACTGGAATATAATCTATTTTCAGTCACGTACTGTGCATGTGTTTCATTACCACCATGCACTGATTAAGACTCTATTCTCAAAATGACAAGTTTAATTATTCCAGCTGCTGTAAGAAAAGGTTACAAATGATTTTTTAGCTTCAATATAGCTCAGAAACTCAGTCTCTTAAATTGACATAATATGTTATACTAAGAGTGAGACACCTAGAGAAAGGTCTCAGATCAGCCTCCCCTGATGCATTACAGGCGCTGGACAATTGGAGAGTGGTCAGTTTGGAAGCCACAACAGGTTAGGTCCAGGTAATTGAGAGAAAACATTGATAACACATAAAGCTTAAGGACCTGCATGAGTTCCACCTTCACCACAGAAGCCAGAGCTGTTGTAAAGATCACACTGGGCCTGACAGCAGGAAACAGGTTCCTGAACTCAGACTCACATCCATCACAGGGCATCATTTCTGCAGATGAACCAGCTAGCATCAAATAGATAAGCACCAAGCTCACCTTGCCACCAGAGATCCAGCAGACATCACACATAGAAAACTGGTAAATGAGGCCCATGAAATAGTAGTTTCAGCAGCCCTGTAAGATCTCAAAAGTCTATGAATATGACCTGGATCATAATGTCTCACAATAACCAAGGAGCCTGGATGCTTAAAATTCAAATATAATCTTATATCATTTCTAATTTACAGTTTAATCTGGAACTACACTACCATTCAAAAGTATGGGTCTCTAAGATGCTTTTAAAATGTTTTTGAAATAAGTATCTTATGCTCACCATAGCTGCACTTATTGTCTATGGTAATGTTTTGAAATGTAAAACAGATTAGATTAGATTATTTTAAAAATGTAAGGTAGATTAGCATTTATACTAAAAGTCCAGTGTAGTTACATGCATTTTGATTACCTCTAAATGTAGTTTGAGCACAAAATGTTTCAAAACTGTTTAGAAAGTTGTATAAATGTAGAAAAAATATGTTTAGTTTTCATAAATGGTTATTTTTTTTTATCTCAGAAGACAAAGGGACAGCGATTCCTCATGATATGATCTTTTACCATAAGTGCAAATGCAGAGCAAATGCTTTGTAATTCTAGAAATACAAACCCCAAGTTTATGATTAATTTGAGTCATCATTAATGAGTCGTTTTTATGCGATATGGATCATCTGCTCTCTGCAGTGCTGTTCGCAATATTAACTCAGACTACATTCAGTGCCCATGCTTTATCTACTGTACCCACTTTAAAATACAAGTTCACAAAGGTATAATGAAAATCCACTAAAACCACATCAAATGATGTGGAAAAGACTAACCAAGCATCACTGGTCTCAAGTTTGAGTCTATAGACCCTCATACTTTCAAGTGCTTGAGTTTTTGAGAAGAGAAATTACTTAGACTCACAAGCAATGTAAAGACTAGCTTCTCTGCTCAGAATGGTCCCGAAAGAGTTGGAGGCCAGACATTGGTAAATACCAGCATCCTCTTCCTTATTGAGCTGGCTGATTCGAAGGTTTCCTCCTGAGATGCTGTATCGAGAGCCAAGTTGAGGGTAAATGAAGCTGTCGTTCATTTTCCACCTATGTAACACAGAGGGAAGTTAGCAGAGAGTGAACGGTTTGGAGTACTAGAAGATATTTTTCTCTTCATTCAAAGTAAAACATAGTGAGATATATCTGTTTGTTATTTGTAATATACTGTATATTGGACTTTCCACATATAGAATACAAAATAAGACCTGAACCTTGAAAAAACAATGGTTAGGGAAAGGAAATTCTGACTGTCCATCTGACATGTCCATCTCCAGTGCTGTTAAACTAAGAGTAAAACTACTATAATTGAAAAAAATAAAATTAAATAAAATTAAATATTAGGTGAAAAACTTTAACTAAAATAAAATAACCAAGTCGAGGTTGAAGTATAAAACTACTAAAACTAAAACTGAAAAAAAAGACAAAATCACATAACAAAATAACTAAAACTTGAACTAAAAATGAAAACTGAAAATATAAAAATAAAAATATATTTAAATTATTAATACATATTATAATAGTATATAAACAATGCTAAAATAACACTCTACCTCAAGTCCAATTAATACGAATAATACATAAGAATTATTTAATTCTCTTTTTTTATCATTTAAACACTAGCAACAGCAAAGGATGTTAAGTAGAAAGACAGGACTTTTACAACAGATCAATGGCCCGGACCAGTCACCCCAAGACATCTGAAACCACAAAACCCCAGAGACGCCCATAAGTTCAGATCCCCTGCTACAAAAGCCTCGTCTTTACGTCATCACACAACTAATCAATACAGTCAGGTAACGTAATCACTGCCTTACCTCATTATTAAATCGTAATCACTGAAAAAAAAACAGACCTCTCTGTCAATGTGGCATACAAATGAGAAGAAATGAGTCTGCTGTGTGAATCCCACAGCAAATAAGGGCCATTTTAATTGACAGACTGGATAAAACAGAGAAGGGCACTATAGTGGCCATTTGGTTTTGATGTGGACAAAGACATGATCCACATCAATTACCTGTCTGATTATATGCACAATAGAAATCAATACAATGCACAAAAAACTGAAGATACCATGATGTCACGTTTTCCTCCCACACACTAAAGGCCACGTCTATGACCTTTTCATATTGATAGAAATCTGTACCGTGCTGCACAAGTTAATGCATGGGACTTGGGAGAGATATATTTGCATGAACAAGCCCACTGTTTGCTCTGCCTGTCACTCAAATTCAATGATGCTCTTTAAGAAAGAAAAAAAAATAGGCTGGTTCACTGGAAGGGAATTTTTTCAGGGACTATATGCTGTAGACAAACAGTATATTATTCTGAATACATTAAGTATGTTTTCCAGTCTCCTGAGGAGGGCAAACAGTGCAGAAAAATAGTGGAGAAAAATAAACATTTTAAATGTTTTTCTGTCAAGATGAAAATATTTAAGCTTTAAGAAATGCTTGTGATGAGGTCGGAAAATAATGTAAGTTTTGTGTTATTTAAACATATTTTTATATACACTACGGTTCAAATGTTTGGGGTCAGTAAGACAGTAAGTTTTTAAATGTTACATAAAGAAGTATCAAGGCTGCATTTATTTGATTGACAATACCGCAAAAACAGCAGGCTAATACTGTGTAATATTACTAGCATTTACATTAACTGCTTTCTACTTGTATTTTATTCCTGTAATCAAAGCTGAATTTTCAGCTTCATTACTCCAGTCTTCAGTGTCACAGAATATAAATTCAAAAGAACAGTATTTATTTGCAATAGAAATCCATTACAACATTAAAGGGGTCATATGACGTCGCTAAAAAAAGAACATTATTTTGTGCATTTGGTGTAATGAAATGTGTTTATGCAAGGTTAAAAAAACACATTATTTTCCACATACTGTACATTATTGTTTCTCCTCTATCATGCGCGCCGGAGGGGAAACAGGGGAACTGAATTCACCGGAACACCGGCATTGTAGGATACTCTCCCAGGAAACAGTCCTCGTCCTCCATAAAATGCGCTGCACACATCTGAATATTTGGGTTAAACTGTTCTGGAACAGTGTTGTAAATACAACTTAACCACTGATTTCTAGTTGTGTCCTCTTTTGGAAGACCAAACAAAGTAGTTTCGCTTTCACAACGAAACACAGCATCTCCACGACATGGCGGCGGTGGCTACAATACTACAGCGAGAATCAAAGTTACGCCTTCTTTCTTTGCGTGAACATTTGGGCGGTGTTATGCAAATCTTCCCACACAGTGACATAGACATGTGGGGGCGTGTTTAAACGGGGCGTTTTAGGAGGACGTGGATGAGTCTTACTTTTATAAAGAATATCTCTTTGGGTTTGAGACTTTAGTCTTTGCAACTTTAGGGATCTTATCTATTCACGAACAGCTTGTAACACTCCAAAGAGAAAGGAAAACTTGAAATTGCATCATATGACCCCTTTAAACGTTTCTTACTGCCCCAAACGTTTGAATAAAAACAAAATATATAGGTTACATTTGTGGTCATTGAGGAGACTCTGACACCTTGTTTAACATCCAAAATGTTCTTTGATACATATATACTGCAGTTAAAATAAAATGAAATTCTATTAAATTCACAGAGATCAGAAATCAATCACGAGAACAAGAGGGAGTCAAAGAAAGAGTGCAGCCACGGCAGAGAAGTGGCTGAAGAAAACAGCTTTTCAAAGAGAAATTAAATCCAATTAGATTTAGCATGGGTCTCCCACAAAAATACATAAATAAAACAGAAAGGCCAAACCAGCTGAGACTAGTTCAGATTGGTTTTGACTCAAGATGAGTCTGTTGTGTATTAATACGTATTTTTTATATAAGAAAAAGTCTCAGGTTACGTATGTAACCATGGTTCCCTGAGGGGAACGAGACACTGCGTCCTCTAGGGGTCGCTATGGGGAACGCCTCGTCGTGACCCGTGTCTGAAGCATACATTGAAATAACACCAACTCGTTGGCCGGCGACAGCCATGACGTCACTACCGGTGCGACTATAAAATAGGCGCCGGTAGCACACATCATTCACTTTCTTCATCAGAAGTTTGCGTCCGCAGCATGGCAAAAAGGCTAGAGGACGCAGTGTCTCGTTCCCCTGTATGGAATTTATGGCTCTTTCAGTTTGTAACTGCTTAATACGCCAGGCTAGTAACTTACCCGCCTTCTCCCCACCTTCATAATAAGTTTTAGTCTCATCAAACTTTTCTTTGCATGTTCTAATGAAAGCTCATTATATTTAATTTTCAATTTGTGCAGGTCCAAAAGAGAATCAGGAGTACTTTTTTGGTATATTTCAGATTCAATTTTTTTTATTTTGCTTTCAAGGTCTACCATTTCTACTTGACAGCGCTTATATTTATAATTTGTGTAACTAATCATTCGTCCTCTTATAAAAGCTTTAAATGCTTCCCACCTGACTGAAGCAGATGTTTGATTCGTGTTAATTTCAAAATAGTTATCTATCTGTTTATCAATGAACTCCAAAAATTCGGGATCTCTCAACCAAGTTATATGTAAGTGCCATCTTGGGGATCTGCATAAAAAATTTGGAAAGTTTAATGTAAATGAAACTGCAGCATGATCTGAGATTAATATGCTATCATACCAGCATTTACTAACTTTGGAAATTATGGAAATTAGTAAAAGAAAATAGTCTATACGAGAGAATGTTTTATAAGTGCTAGAGTAGCATGAATAAGTTGAATAAGTCGGGTGTCTGTTCCTCCATATATCTATTAAATTAAAATCTTGCATATACTGTTTTAACTCTATTCTGGTCTGTAAATGAGAGAGGTCTGATTTAGTTGATCTATCTAATTCTGGATATAGAGCACAATTAAAATCTCCTCCTATAACAAAATATCCTGGCAGTTCAGCCAATATTAAAAATAGATTTCTGTAAAAAATAGGATTATCCACATTGGGCCCATAAACATTCACTATATTCAGTCTAACAGAAAGGATCTCGGCTTGGATGATTATGTACCTCCCCAGTCTGTCCTCAATAGTGTTAATTATTTGTAAAGGTATAGATTTATGTATAAGTATAAGAACCCCCCTAGAGTATGAATTAAAGGAGGCCGAAAACACTTGTCCTGGCCATCTCTTCCTCA